CCCCCCCCCTTTCTTCATTCTCTTCGTGTTCTTAGATCAGTAACTCTGTTTTCTCTCATGGAAACTATGCTTACAAGACTTCGTTTCTCCTTCTTCCTTGTTTTTGTCTTTACTTTTTATGATCTCTCTTCATCTTTCTCTCCGATTGACAACTATCTCGTCAATTCTGGCGCCTCCCTGGACTCCACCGTAGACAATCGTCGTTTCATCTCTGACTCGTCTGATTCCTCTAACTCACATCATCTCTCTTCACCCGAGACCTTCTCACTCTGTGCTGGAACTCTTCTTCCGGGTCTGCCTCAAATCTATCATACCGCCAGGGTTTTCAAGGCACCGTCGAAATACGTTTTCGATGTCAAAGATCCAGGGATGCACATGGTACGTCTCCATTTTCACCAATTCAGTTCATCAAAGTTGAATCTTCGTGACTCCCAATTTCACGTTTTGGTTAATGGGTTGGTAGCTTTGACCAATTTTAGTGGTGGGAATTTGGTGGGTCCTAAGGTCAGGGAATATTTGCTTTGCGTTCATTCAGAAAAGCTTGAAATCACTTTTGTTCCTGCTGAAAGATCGAAATTTGCTTTTGTTAATGCGATTGAAGTTATATCTGCGCCTCAAGATTTGATACTGGAAACTGCTCAATCTGTCAACGGTGACAAAGTTAAGCCTTTTGAGGGGTTAAATCAACAAGCATTTGAAGTTGTGCATAGGGTAACTGTAGGAGGTGCTAAAGTTACTCCTTTTAATGATACTTTGTGGAGAACTTGGGTGCCTGATGATGACTATATGAAATCGACCGAAGGATCGACTAGGGTGTACTTTGCTGGTAGAATTAAGTACCAAACTCACGGGGCGAGTCGTGAAGTTGGTCCTGATAATGTGTATAATTCTGCTCGGTTGATTCAAAGCAAGAATGCTTCTATTCCTAATGTGAACCTTACATGGGAGTTTCCGGTGATGGAGGGTTATAAGTATCTTGTTCGGATGCATTTCTGTGATATTGCTAGTATATCCCTTGGATTGCTGTTTTTCAATGTTTATGTTAATGGCCATTTAGCCTATAAGGATTTTGATCCCTCGGCTGTTACAAATTACTTGTTGGCTTCTCCCATTTATGCGGATTTTGTCATTGATGCTGATCATTCAGGGTTTGTGAGTGTAAGTGTTGGGCCTTCTAGCAAAAGCATGGCATACGCAGTTGATGCTATTTTAAATGGGGTGGAGATCATGAAGATGAATAATTCAGTAGGTAGTCTTGATGGCGAGCTGCCTGCAGAGTCAGTTTTGAAGTGTTGGCCAAGAAGAAGTGCTGGTATTCTGCTTCCTTTGATTGCTCTTGTGTGTTTACTACTGAGCTTATCAGCGATTATCCATAGGAGGAACACAAACAAGGTCGACTCTGTGCCATGGTCAAAATTGCCTGTGGATGTCCCAGAAGTTTCTCCGAAGCAAGGCAAACAACAATTATCAAGTAGAGTATAAAGATTGTTAAGGATCCACTGGCTTTGTAATATATAAGTAACTTGTTGGGGATACCACATACTATTAGAATGGAGGCTAGTAGTTCACGCATACTAAAGGTTTCTTCGAGTTTGAATTTGAAGTTTGTGAAGAGCTTTGTCTCCGTGTATTGTTGTCTGGTTAATCTGTATGAAAGCTGTATTAAGAAAATACAGTGTTGTTTGCAATGCATATTTTGCATTTTATTATCAATATATTACCATGATCATGTTTGTGATGCTGAAACGATTATTTAATTCAGTCACCTAGTTGTTCGTGATTATAAGTCATTGGTCACCTTCTCTGCTCATACTCTTTAAAACCTATTATAAATTGGTAAAAATGTCACCATAAAATCCAAGTTATTTGTACCAAACCAACCTGATAAACCTAAGCTTATTCTAAATCATGGAATCATTTCTGTTATCTCATACTCTTCAGTATTCTTCGTGAATTGAATTAGGAACCTTATCTAAATGTAAGTGACGTCTGAAAAAGCCTTTACAGATGAATACTAGTATTTTTCTTTGGTTCTTTTAACACGATTAACACTGTTATAGAGGTAGCATCCGAGCATTTAGTTTATTGATTGTTGCATGATTTTCCTTTGAAGAAGGTAGGGTTTGAATCCCGTCCCTATACATATATATTAAAAAAAAACATTGTTATAGAGGGATGTGAAAGCATTAGAGGTGCCAAGGGAGCAAAATTGTCCTTAGGGTCGCAATGTTTCTGTCCGTGTATGTTAAAATTTTCGATCCTACTCACATGCTCCAATCTAAGTCAGCTACTCTCATTGTGAGCTGATGTCAGTTGTTTATTTGGTAGACTGCTCTTTTGGAACACCTGTAGTTCTTCTACCATTGTAGTCGTGTATATTGTTTTGTCCTATGTAGCTTAGCACAGCTAAATGGAATCGGAGTTCAGCCATAATCTTACAAAATACAAGCTGTGTCTCTGCCTGGTAGGCAGTATTCACTTGGTACACTGCTTTCCAAATGAGCCGTCCTTGGAATTATTTTCAAATGTGTAAATGCCAATAAGCTGTATCCCCTTAACCAGAAGCTGCCGCTGATTGTATAGGACGATGCATCATCTGTTTCAGCCATTCCCCTCCTGCTTGTATCTCCTACTGCCAGACGGAAATCATGAAGGGATCTATGCTTGTATTTCCTCTTGGGAGTGGCAGGATTTGAAGTTGAGTACTTCTCTCAAGAGAGGCAGGACTACCGATGGTTGAGATAAGAGTTAATCGGCAGGCAGCATAAACTTCTAGATGAGCTTGGACCTATATTTGTTACTGGACTTTATTTGGGCTTAGGTTCAGCCTCAAAGTACCTCAACTTTGCTACTTTCATTTACTGTTTACACAAAACAATTGTCCAATAAAGAATAATATTAGATTTGCATAATGAAATTGGATGAGAATGAAATAATTATTTTATAGAAATAAAATAATTATTATATTATTTAATTTATAATAATGGAATAAGATAGGAATTGTTATTATAAATTATTCAAATGTTTGGCTAGTGAGAATAGTTTTAAAAATAGTGAAGAAATAAGTTAAAAATGGTAAAAATACTCATTATTATAATATTTAATTTTTAAATTAAAATATTTATTATTTTAATAATTTATTTCAATTATTAATGAATTTTGATATAATTATTTATTTCAATTTATAGAATATTAATATTTTATATTTTATTTAAAATATTAATAATTTATAATTAAAACATTAACATCATTATTTTATTTTTAAAATATTACAAATTTATAATTAAAATTTTAATTTAATTTATATATTTAAAATAATAAATTTTTATAATTTAGAATTAAACTTAAATCTTTTTAAAATTCTTTTTTATTTTCTTTTCCTTTTTCTTGTCGATCGATCACATCTTTGGTGGCTAGTTGGTGTAAAAGAGCGTCAATATGCACTCCTTGTGGCCAGATCAGGTCGAGGAGCTCCAAATCAGCACTGCACAAAGTCGGACCTGGCCGCGGAGTGCCAGATTTGACTGCAAGATATATCTGGGAAGCATTAAATTCGATGCTTCCCATGGTGGGTTTGATTGGCTAGTACTCCTTGTGGCTAGTTCTAGCAAGGGAACAACACTAGATCAACACTTCCCCTAACAGTCGATGATAGAGGGAATGCAGAGAGAGAAGGAGAAGAAGAAAATGGGTAAAAGAGAAAGAAAACTTGAGAAATGAAACAAATTTATAGTATATAGTAGTTTTTGAAATTTTAAAGGGATATTTTCATCCAATCTATTTTTTTTTTCTATTCCTACTAGCTTGAGATAGCCATTATCGAAAAGGCTTGGTAATAGCTATTCAGAGCTCTTTGACCATTTTGAGGAATGGCACAATTCCATCCAACTAAATGTAGTCTTTGGTTGATAACCAAGCATGCCATTAATGATCTTGTAACAAAAGAAAACCTTCATAATCATATTGCTTTTAATCAAGATCAGCCCTTAAGTAAGGCAAATTTGGAGAGATCTTATATTTTTATAATAAAAATATAATTAATTATATTAAATATATAAAATTCAAATAATTAATAAAATATTTATATATTCTCTTATATCTAATAAATATTTATTTTCTCTAATTTCCACATCTTATTAATTTTGAAATAATTATTTCATTTTCTATTATAACTATGTAAAAGTAAAAAATAATTAATAAAATGACATATTTTTTCACTTCTCTAATTATGTCCTTAATAAATCTTAAGTTTTTTTTATCATTTCTCAATTACTACAATGCTATTAATTCTCAACTACTTATCTTATTTCTAATTAACTAACGGTAATATGTATTTAACTATCTCTAGAGGCTATTTTTTCTCATATATTTCTTCTAGTTCCAATCAACTAATGGTAAAATGTATTTAATAATTTCCAATAACTATTTTATTTTCTATATATAAAACCAATTATCTTTTTTTTTTCAATTTATAATATCCACTTTTGAATTCTTCTTCATTTGTTGCAATTGTATGTATTTCACCACATTTTCACTTCAAAATTTAACAGTCAAAATGCACATTTTCTCTTGCAGCAAATCTAGGGGTAAAAGAAACAAAGAAAAGGGCATCTATGTCCCTTTACCCATTTTCACAAATTTGGGTTCAAATACTACAAAGTTTCTCTTTGTTTTTTCCTTATCCAATGCACAAAGTCTCCATCTAATTTATGATGTTTAGGCACATGATAAAAGCACCAGAAACAAAACCATCTTTCTAAGTGTAACTTAGCCGGTTTTGTCTTCCAAACCAGTGTCAAAATCTAAAATAATTAGTAAGTTTAGATTTTGTTTTGACTTTTGTTTCTTATATATTTTTAACTTTTTATTTGAAAAAAAAATAAAAAATAACCCTATCACTTATTTGTTACTTATTTGACATTAGAAAAAATTAAAAAAAAAAAGCTTTCTTTATTACTCATTATAAGTTAATGATGGAACTATACTATTATGGTTGCATGGAGCTTGCAATTGGAGGGAGGTAAGCACATCCACATGTCCTAAGCCAAACCCTAGTGTTGACTACCGAACAGCCTCAACTTGCTCTTCCCCTGCCTGATTTTTGCCACGCAATTTATTTATTGTTTCTTTCCCAATTACGTATAATTCCCACAAGACGCGGATCATGCTTTTTTACCCTTTAATTGGAAATATCTCTTCTTTCCTTATCTTACGTACCACTATTGGTATTATGTAATTCATTACTTAATTACAAAGAAATTCTTTCCTATATATACCATCATTCCACTGAAATTCTCCTCAGAGATTCTCTCAAAAACTTATAATTAAGCTGTCCTTTTTTTTCTCAAAAACTTCCCCATAAGAGAGAGATGGAGTCCAGGGTGGTAAGGGCAGCAATAAGGTTGCTCTTGACTGTCATCTGTCTTGGGGTTTGTATGATGTGGATCATGTTGCCGACAAACACCTACAGGCAAAAATGGAGGGCTAGCATCTCCAAGAGGGTCCTTTCGACATATTTTGGAACACAAGGTTTGGCTCTGAAAGCAATGTTTTGATCCATTTAATAACTAGTACATTGTGGTTTCTAATTCTAAGGTTACAGGTTCCAATATTCTGATTTGGACCTTTCCTGTCCTCCTTGTTGGTGCTCTGGGCTCCTTGTACCTTCACTTGGGAAAGAACTTGAACGAAAACGATTTGCAAAGGTAGAATAATGACAATTTCCATTATTTAACATACGTTACACGTGAGATAAAAAAAACCCAGTTTTGATGGCTATTTCTGATGAACAGCAATGAGAAAAAACTTCGGCTGGCGTTGTGGAAGAGGCCACTGTTAGTGAAAGGTCCTCTAGGGATTGTTTCCGGCATAGAATTAACCTTCTTGATCATGTTCATTTCACTCCTGGTTTGGATACTGGCAACTTATTTACGTAACGGGTTACCTACAATCACTCCAAAAGTAGCGGCAAAATATGGAGTGGAAGTGTAAGAAATTCACGTTGATAAAATACAGCATTCAATACTTTATTCAAAACATATATATAATATAGGTTTGGGTCTTTGATTGATTTTTGGCAGATGGCAAATGAAGTTGTCCGATATAGCGTTGTGGATAGGCCTTGTTGGGAACGTATGCCTATCGTTTCTGTTCTACCCAGTGGCTCGTGGCTCATCGGTGCTGCCGCTGTTGGGGCTAACCTCGGAGGGCAGCATCAAGTACCACATATGGCTCGGACACATGACCATGGTTCTTTTCACAGTTCACGGAGTTTGCTACATCGTTTATTGGGCTGTTACAGGCCAAATATCTGAGGTAATTAATGCTCTTTTATGACCTAATAAAGTGACGTTTTCTTCCTAGTTTTGGTCTCCATCGTCCTGTTTTATCGGTTTCATTGTTGGAAAATTGCACGTAAGGATTGTCATTAATTACCAAAAAAAGAAAAGAAAATCCAAGGTGGGATGATGCAGAGAAAATATGGCATAGAATCAAAGGTTGTTTTCAGAGTCCATAGAACAGTGGAACTGTTCCATTACTTAGAGAAGAGAACCCTGAAAAATGGTTCCCTATCAAGGAATTTTATATGCCCCTTCGATGAGCATCCGGCGGTGCGGATTGGCACCTATGGGGCTTGTTGCACCATGGCTTCTCTTTTATACTCTCACTTTATTATATTCTAGACTTATTATTCATTCTTTACTATAATAAATAATATACAATTAAATTATAAAAATAATAAATAG